TTTAGCGAAATCCACCAAAATGGCGCATTTATGTTACTGTGTCCTCGACAAGATCTTACTAACGGTGAAGTCAAAACTTCAAACGCTAATTCCGGGTGAACGGGATGTCGGAGGTGAGTACCGACAAAGGGAATATGGTAGCACCCATGGTATAATGTAGCACCTAGCACCCGACTAAGATCTTACTGATGGTGGAGCCAAAACTTCAAACGCGAATTGTGGGTGCACGGGACGTCGGAAGCGGGTACCGGCACGAGAAATGCGATAGCCTTCGATAAAATCTTATTGATTGTGAAGTCCAAACTGGCTAATGAAAGTACCTACTGATCTACCACACAAAAATGCGCTAAAATCCCTTTGATCTCACACGAAGACTATGATAATTTTTTCATTTTTTAACAATGTTCCGTTTATTCCGAGGTTCATCCTAAAGGACCGTAAATTTAGTTTTAATTATATTTCAGTGCACCCTGTAGCCCTCGAGCTTTTTAACTCGTCGCCCTCGAGAATATAAACATCACTATTATGCCCTTAATACATAAACAACTTCAGTTTTTATGGCGGGCGCTCTTATGGAAATTTACATTGGGTGCAGTGGGTACAGATGACTCTTAACACTCACATACTAAAGACAGGCAGTTAGCCTACGTAAGATAACGGATAAATTTATATTGATAATTATCAGCAGAACATTTGAAGATAATCATCCACGAAGCATGACTCATCCATGCAAGTGTTTCGAACATTCGCCTCCTCTTTCAGGCGATACACTCTGCCGCCGATGTGTTACAAAATAGGACCACATACATGTATTGAGTACGCTATTTTGTTAGTCTACTTATTCCTATTTACGTCGGAATTGCATAAATTATTTAGTTGAGAACGACCTGTTACATCGTGAACTCTTTTCCTTAGTCCTGACTCCTGTAGACCTGTAGGTAAGCATGAAAATCATAGAGCTCATTTGTAATCATCAGGGACAACACGCACAGCACACGTAATTTAAAAAATTGGTCGCTTATTCCTACAAAGAGTTATTGGATACACCTGCGATTTTATGCGAGCCTAGGTGATCGACCTGCGTCGACTATAAGTGACGAGTCAAGAGGTGCCAAAAATTCACCACTGAAGGGGTGCAGCAGATCCTCTTTTAGGAGCAGGATACCCTCCGACAGGGCATATGTATAACCCCGTAAACACCGCTGCTGCTATGGATGAAGATTTCTGAGCACCACCAATCCGACCAAAAGCAATCGATAAATCTTTACCGGCACCAGCCCAAACCAGCTTACGGTGCTCCTGAAATAATTAATAGAACTACAGAACGACCTCCCCCGCTTGAAAAGAAACACGTTAAGAGACGGAGGTAGAAAGAAAGGAAGGAAGCGCTTCCGTTGTCTTGGTCAAGTAGATATCTTGGTATGGACATTCAATAATGTTTTATTCAATGGTATGGATCACGTTTGGGAATTGCTACAAGTTAAAAGGAATACATACTCAGCGGACAATTACAGAGTATGTCGTTATACAGGGTGCAGGTGCCGGTCCTGAGTAGGATACTGCTGCACTGCAGAAGGAGATGAAAAGGTGGATGCTTTAGTAATAACTCATAAGAAATCCTTGGGTACAATTCTGTAAGCCCCAAGGTAGGTCTTAAAAAATAGGGACTGGAGCGACGTCAGTTTCCTGACCACGTGAGAATATCTGAGTCTGTCAAACCACAATATGTAAGTGTGGGAAGAGCCGTGACTTCTTTGGGAGATTCCATTTTAAGCGCATGTATTTGTAAAATAGATGAACCTTTTTGAGGGATTCTTGGCGCTTGCGCAAGGATGTCATGCCTAGTTCCCACCCACTCTTGTCTGTGGATTCCAAGTTGAGTTGTCGGGAACGTGTTTCGGCCTGGACGGGTTCGTCTTCTGTCGGATCGGCGCCAGGAAAGAGGATAAAATCCCGTTTATCGTTTGTTCGAAAACATAGTGTGTCTTCAGTATCCTGTTACTGTCGCGGACATTGGAACAAGGATCGAAGGGAGCTTGATTTTGAAGGAATAGGCGCTATTACTCTCCAAGGATTAACCGACATGCTAGACGCTGCCATGATCTCAACTTTGCTATGATCACTATCCCAATTTATATCGTTTGCAGCCTGACTTATAAAACTCATGCAAGTACCCCTCTGTCTCCGGTGGAGCCCTTTAAACTACTTACCTTGTTCAGTCTGTCCAATCTTTCACACCACCAAGCTGTTGCGACAGCTCGAGTATAGTAAGGATACTCCGTTTAAGTCATACCTACTTGGCGCGTATGACGGACCAACTCTGTCAGGCTACCTGCAGTTTGATCCACCTCTTGAAGATCGTGACACATATAGCACGGACCCACCCAGACAATAGGGTGCTTCGACATTTTTTGTATTTATTTTATTCTAACTAAAATTGAGAGATTTTGTTATTACCTAAAAAGCGATAAAAAAAACTGAGGCCAAAATATTCATATTTACGTCCGCTGTAAGCATTTTAAAATAAAGGGTCATCGCGAAGAGAAAAAACGTACCTGCGCGCGAGACTAGACCACGTGACGTCAGTAGCCAACACATTTGCCGAGTGTACCTACCAATTCACGTAAACTGGGACCGATTTATTTTTTGTATTTATTTGCGCACAATGCTGCAAGGTTATCAAAAAGCTGATTCGCGAAATTTAGTTACCAAATGCGAGTGTGGAAATGATGTAGGAGTTGTATAATTCCACTACTGGACTGTTCTGGGAATCATTTAAATTTGCATTGACGAAAACACCATTTCCACATTAACTTTGGTTAAATTTCGTCAATCAACTTTTTTTATATCCTGGCAGCATTGTGCACACGCCAAATATTTTAACAACGCGGCTGCAAAGGTGTTGGCTACTGACGTCACGCGGTCTAGTCTCGCGCACAGGTACGTTTTTTCTCTTCGCGCTGACCCTTGATTTGGAATGCTTACAGCGGACGTAAATATCAATATTTTGCTCTCAAATTTTTTTTGATCGTTTTTTAATAACAAAATCTCTCGATTTTAGTAAAAATAAAACAAGTATAAATTGTGCACAACTCTTGTGCAGATAAACCGCATTTTTGTTAACCGAAATAGCTTTTGATTTGACATCACCAATGAATATATTTTTTGCAGACGTCTCAGTCACCCTTTGTGAGTACCCTCTTCTGACAATCCGTTCTTAAGGTATAAGGTCGAGGAAGAGGGCTATGGTTGGTTGGTAGAAATTAATTCCTCATCATTGCTCTCCTCATCTGAGACCAATTGGTTGTCGTATGTAAAAGTTATGCACGTTTTACTTTCAAAAACAGCATCTCAGGAAATAATTCGTGGGGAGAGGGGGGGCCCTTTTAGACAGCGAAATTTGATAGCCGTCTGGCACACCTTCAAGGTATAGGCTTACCTATTGCAAAAAATTCCAGGACTCTAGGACCATTCCCCTAGAAGTAGCTCGAAACGGCAGAAGTGGGTTCTCTCCTGACCGTGTCCGGACGAACGGACGGGCGGACGGACAAAACACAAATGGCACATTTTTTTAATTCTTAAAAAATGCGCTAAAAATGTCGAACCCGCCTACCTATTCCTTTTGCGTTTGCGCACTACCCCCCTTCCTTCCCCTACCCTATCTCCGTGACTTTTGGCATTGGAGTCACAACGGAAAGTTATAGTTGCGAGAAATTAAGGTATACTTTAATAGTTATTTACGTTATAAGTCCGGTAGGTTACTTGTAACAGTACGAGTTAGACATTATGGACGAGGCGACGTCAGGAGCCGAGTCAAGAATGTCTTAAACGAGTACTGTTACAAGTACTACCGGACGTATATCGTAACGTATTTTATTTCATACTGTAAGTCTGTTTTGTATCATTATTTCATTTCAAAGATTACAAAATTTCATTATATTGTAAAAATCGCATTACCTTGTTTCTGTGGCAACGGCCGTTGCTATAGTTTGTACTTTGTTGACATTGAATTTTTTTCACTGAAAAAATGGACGCTATAAACGTTGTGGGATGTTCCACTGTTCCCGATACAATCCTGTCGAAATCTCATGAAGCAACCGAAAAGTTGGTTCCTAAGAAGTCGGCCGCAAGGTATGAAAAAGAGTACTAAGTGGTTTGCCAATTGAGAAACGAACATGGGGCGAAACAAGTAGAGGAAAACGTCATGTTGGCATACTGTTTGGATGCAGTAAGTTTTTGAATTGAGATTTTTTTGCCTGGGTTTCGGTGTTAAAGCGTCATGGGGCATGGAAAAGCTCATCGACGGCAGAAAAATATACATCGAAGGCTCGGTAGAAGGAAAAGTTAAGATTGGCCGTATGATACAACTGATACAAGGCGGCGAAAATTTCATTCAAGTTCTACAGCAGAAGGGATCGAACATTACTAACTCGACATCCAGTAATAACCCAGGCGTTAGTGTTGAGGGCAATACAAATTGTTTCATTACAATCAATGTTAATGTTTGAAATAAAGAATTACAGCCAAATTTATGTTGGGGTTTTTAATTAATTGTGTGAAGATGTCAAATTTGATGTAAACAAGTAACAGTCCGGTAAGTGTTGCTTAGCGACACTTACCGGCTCTGATGCTGTAATAACTCACCTACCGGACTCAAAATGATAGTGTAATCGAACATCTACCGGACAGTATGAAATAAAAGGAGTATTTAGTAGAAATCAGCTATAACCCCGAACACTGCATAGTTGGCGAGGTCGATTTTTTCAGTCAATGTAGCGCTTCCCTTTGATTGTGCGACATTATTTAAACGATAGACGATAAACGAACTGCCACTTGTCGTCTGCAAGTCTATGGAATCGGCACTTTTGATTTAAATTCCTCAGAGTAAGAACTTGCTCTAAATCATGTGATCATACATACATTATAACTTCAGGGATAGATGGTGCCACCCTCTCATAAGCGTCGTTGGAAGCTTGGAAGTAGGGTATACTCTTTGGAAGTGTCTATATGCCTGTCTGAAGTTCTGCGCCTGCGTTCAATCGCAACGTAACGCCCATGCACGCACGTGTTGTGTTGCGAAAGGCGCTTGTAAATACATAACATAACCTTCAAAGTTTGAAACGTTTCTTAAGAAGTAAGTGCTAAAATTAATTCTAATGCTGAATTGGTATTACGACAAAACGGAGTTAAGAAACACTCCGTCTGCTAGCAACGACATTACCTATGAAACGGAACTTGAATACAGGAGAGAAGGTAAATTAATGCTTAACGATAATGCTGTATGTGCAAATTGTAATCTTTAGGAATTTGTCTGATTATGGATGGAGGGAAGAAGTTAAAATTAGGTTCAAATACCATTGCAACAAGCGCCATATATTTTCACAGATTCTACATGTTTCATTCTTTCGTGAATTTCTCTCAATATACAATTAGCTGTACGTGCCTTTTTCTTGCTAGTAAAATAGACGAAACCCCAAGAAGATTAAAAGATGTAATTAACATCTATCATGGCATGTTAAATACTACTCAATATATGAAATTCGGAAGTGATCCTGAGCAAAAGGTTGGTATATGTACTTAGCATTTCCTCAATACTTAAACATTATTTTTCTAGGTAATTACATTAGAAAGTATTTTGTTAGAAACGCTGCAGTTTGATTTTGATGTTGACCACCCGTACGATTTCTTACCACAATTTTCTCAATGCTTCATTGCGCCTCAAGAGGAAATAGATGCGGTGGTCAAGGCAGCCCAAGATTTTACTGACGACAGCCTTTATACCACTATCGCATTGCAGTGGGAACCAGAAATTGTGGCAGTTGCACTTCTGCATTTATCAGCGCAGCTTAGAGAATTGGATGTTGCGGATTGGAATGGTCGATCTGCTCAACATGAAAATTGGTGGGATTTGTTTGTAGAGGATATAATGGTTGAATTATTAGACGATATTGCTCATCAGGTAAGTACTAAAAAATTATTAACAAATTTGGTTTCTGGTGAGTTGTTTTTTTATTGTTTATTGTTGGCTTTATTCTTGGATTTGTAAAAGACAGACTCACTTGCTACCTTGCTTTTTAGTTATAAACTGGATTTTGTCGCCATTATATTCCTGTTATTTATACGGCCTAAACATGGTTGAATATGACAGATATGTAGATGACAAGGGACTATTAAACAAAGAATAAAATAAGGATTAACAGAGTACCATATGGTACCATTCCAATATTGACCTTTATCAAAAGAGATGAAACTGTCATTCCGTTAGTCCTCACTGAAAATAACTTCAAAAATATAGAAACCATTTTTAATCTAATAAAACTCAGTGTTCTTGTCCCCAAAATTTTGGGGAGCCTCACCCGCGGTATACGTATATCTGCCGCATGGAAGCCTCATTGTCCCCACTTTTTGCCCTGGATCTTTCAAAAGGATCTTATGAAGTTTTTGAACTTCAGGAAGATCCTCTCTGATCCTCGTTTAGACCTTCAAATATAGTCCTTATACCTGCGCTGAGCTATATTAAGATCTTCCCAGTCCGCAGGTAGTTTAGTTCGCATGGCCCTATTAAAGAGCCTGCGATCTTGCAAGGTCTAAGTTCCACCAAGGTGTTCTCTTTTACTTTACTTTTAGAGCCTAAGTAATGAAATTTGGTGTTCGGGAAAACCGAGCTTCAAGAGAAGAAGTTAATCCAGTTCTAAGCGACGTTTAGTGTCCATAATATCCAGTAGTTCTGGAAAGTGTTTATTTTGCCCCGGTTCCCATTTTGGAGTAGAATAGAAAAAGTTCATGTTACGTTTTCGCTACCCTTTGCGAAATGTGCATGAAGTTACGCCGCAAATTTAATATGCCATAAAAGTGCCAACTTAGTAAGAATTAACGTGATACAAAATTACGTCAAGAAATATTTTCACATTACTTCGTAGAAGGTTAGAAGCTCGCAATCGTAATTCAGTTAGATAAAGACTATGCATTGCCACAAGTTAAAAAAATATATACTCTAATATTCAGTGTAAAGTGAAATTGCGGCAAAGAAAACTGTTAGCATAGCTTAGCCTTAACTAGTCAGATAATATTTACGTTCCTTTTTGTGCCGCTAAAATTAAAATTAATCAAGGTGAAAAGTTTACTATAGGGTTTTCCCACATATTAAACCATGAACAAACCCTTAAAATCGAGTTTATGCAAGTATTCATTCCTTTCGGCAAACCAAAATTCGCTCGTGTTGAACATAAACTCGTGTCTAAAGTGTCGTTTATTTTGTTTTTATTTATTATTTATTATCCCTCTCTTGTTCCGGGCCGTCAACAGGCTTGCTCCCAATTACAGAGTGACCCGCATAATGCTTTTTAGAGGTGCCTCTGCAGAAAGTCTTAAGTTGTTCTATACTACTCTGGTATTTACCTTACGAATGAGGAAAACGTAATTCGGAGTAGCCGGCGGAATGCTCGGAATTGGTCTAAAGTAATGTCCATCTCTGCCACAGATGAAAAATTCACCTCAACCTCCTTTCCCTTCGTTGACTATTTTATTACGGATTTTGCATTTTTTCAGCATCTTATTAATAAATGTCTAGTACTGAAATATATTACTAACTTGACAAATGCGTGTGTCCTCTTACACCCTGTATATAATTTAAAACAATTTAAGATATTGTATAAATAATGTGTGAGTAATAGAACTAATACTGAGGACTGGGGTAGATATTATTTCAAAACCAAGATTTAACTCGGTTTTTACTGTACTATTTATGTCCGTGCTGGTAAAATAAACATAGTATCACAGTGATGAATTGCACATTCATCATGAGTGTAGTTCCTAGAAAGCAGATGAATCAATAAAAAGACAACTTAATTTAACATTTGTATTAGGTTTGTGTACATAAGTTAAATTTTCGATTAGGTTTTAGATCTATATTCCTTGCCGATTTCCGAACGTTTACATCTTTCCAACGTGCCATTTTCAAACGGATCTCATTTAGAGAAACTCGACACAACAGGTAATGACACGACAAGTTATTGCTATCCATACACATTAAGGCTAAGTTTCGCATCATCAGATTAATGCCATATCCATCAATAGCAAATAAATATTTTTCTAAATCATGTTACGCTAAGACAACTAGTGCCTAATGAACAGAGTATATGTGATAATGTATTAACATATTTAGGATTAAGTACTTAACTACTACTTTTTGTTTATGTAAGTGTACTATTTTGTTTTCCTATGAGACTATTTTTATGTTCACTGCCCATTTCCCTATTGTTATTATATGGCTTTACTTGTTTATTGTTCCTTTGGTATGTTTTGTTATTTCAAAGGGGAACAGGATAGTACATTGAATTACGCTTATTACTTAGATACAAGTAAATTGATTCGTAAGTAGTTATTTTAATAAAGTTGGAATTAATTTTTTGTTTTGGAGTAGTTTTGTACATATGTAAAAGAATATTTTGAGAAAAGGATAAATGTGGGGTTTGATTTTATAATTTTTGTTGCCAAGCATAGAGGGAAAATGCGAAAAAATTCCAATTATTATAAATAGTATTTAGTATTTTCCTTTTGTTGAATTGGTGAAGTGCTTGTGTTTATAGTAATAAAACTCGCAAATTAGATTAATGTAACATTTGATTACAAACGCAGTGACCTAACCATACATTAGGACAGCCACAGAAGGCAATTGAATTGTCGATTCATCACAATCGAGACCAAGCTAGAATGAACTCTAACTGGAATATAACATGTTTCTGAATATATATGGGACAATACAGAATTTGAAACCAACGGCATAGCAGAGGAGCAGAGGAAATTATGTATAGCTGCCCTCCTACTTAAATTTCAACGAAACTTGGCATAAAATGGGATTATTTGTTTCGATTGCTTGAAATCAGGAAACAGGGATGTAAACTTCAAAACTATGGACAAACCCATGGGAAGAACAAGGAATTATCCCAAATGATGTAGGATTTTGCCTACCTATCTCATTCTACAGTTCCTAAACCATATGCTGCATGTGTCCGCATCCAAAGGTTGACCTTGGACAAAGATTCTCTACACTAGAAGCCCATCAAAGACAGTTCCAGTCTGTCAATAAGGTAAGGTTTGGTTTAGGTTACCTGCAGACAACTTCATGCCATGTTTGAACACCATTTAAGTAGGTACTACATGAAGTGAATAACACTATTGCTAACAAGCTCAATGGGGTCCTCTGATAACATTTGTGTTTGTGTTGCGTCATTTGAAATTGAGAAGGATTACCTAAAATTTTATATTTACCTAGAGGCCATCAGGATTCTTGGGTACACCAAATTTGGCTTACGTATACTTGTGAAAAAATAAATGTTTGATGATGATATCAACCAACGGTACAATCGGTATCAGGTGTCTTATGAAACCTCTCGAGGAATTTGAAGCATCTGAAGGTGCGTGTGTATGGATTTTGACAAAACTTGGAATAAAATATGGTGGTTGCTGATATTAATTCAAAGACACGTAAAAATATTTCTGGGGCTTGGTTCTAACAGAGCCAATGTCAATAATGATGAACTCAAGAAAACGTGTTTTTGTGAATAATTACGCGGCTGTTACTATTTTATAACAAATTGCCCGATTTCATGAAATAAAATTTAGCAAAATTGTTTTTAGCCAGGTAGGTATACAGGGTGTCTTAAATTGAGTAGCATAAGCCTTACCAGCAAGGATTGAGTATCCTTTGATTAATTGATTGCTCATTTACTAAAATAACCCTCAAAGACATGGCTATATCTTTGTTATTAACTTATTATTATACTTACAGATTCGGTGAAATTGGCAAAGTTGTGTAGATGTTGATGCTAATGGATATTCAGATGCATATACATATTTCGAAAAAAAATCGTTTCATAGATAATTGGAAAAAAAGTGAAAATTTTTAAAAAGTTCAAGTATTTTACTAACAAAGAGAGCTACTGAAAAATGTTTCAAATAAAAGTTGCAAGACTCGATAGGAGAAATTGAATGGGTGTAGAAAAATTTTTTTCAAAATGGCGGTTTTTGAAATATTGACATCAACTTTCTTATTTTAAGTGGACGCCATATTGGATTTTTACGCGATTGACTCGATAGAAAAAAAAATTACAAAACCAGTGATTCTAAATACTTATGGCCGATTGCACCGACAAATTTAAGCGGCGCTAAGCTTAAGCGTAGTTTAAAACCCATGGCAACCATTGTCTCAATAATCGTTGCCATAGATTTTAAGCTACGCTTAAGCTAAGCGCCGCTTAAATTTGTCGGTGCAAACGGCCATTAGTATTTCATTCGGGAATCAACCTAGTATTTTCTGGCAATAATTCCATGGCCGTGTCGATGGTGACTAGGCGAGACAATAAACGAACGAATTTGGTGCCAATCACAATCAGCCATGGAAATATTGTCATAAGAAATAAGCCGTTTACTTTTTTTTTTGTTCAAGGTCGAGATCAAATTACAGTTCAGTTATTGAAGCCTTTCATCCAGTTTCGAAAGCGTTTGTTAGAAGAGACGGCGGAGTCAGTTTGCCAGTTTCGAGGCCGAATACGTTTATGTGATTGAGAAAAGTGTGTCATATGCTTGTCAATTAGTAAAAAGGAAGCAGTAGGACCAAATTTGTACGTGTGACGGTTCATCGAGTGTTCGTGTTTTCAGTTAGTTTAATTAGTGATTTTGGATGTACGAATCTTATTCGGATATTTTTGTCTCGAAAAAGAAAACTGTAAGTAATTTGAAGTTATATTTGGTAATTAATTGCAAATTTGTTCTGAACACTCATGTCCATTTAGACAGGACAGTGGTGTGGTTTTTCTTTTTATTATCTTGTGTGTTTGTAAAATAAAATTATGATTGAAGAGCTAGTTAGGTTTACAAAATGTTTTGTGTATGGTTCCTTTTGATCTGGGATCATTGCACACACCATTTTTATGTACTCGCCCAACCTGGGACAATGCATTGATTTTTTTGTATGTGGCCCAAATTTAAATGTTCACAGCAGTATATGCATTTAGGATGTGTAGGTATTGTGTTTAGGTTGGTAATTTAAGTCTAATCGGTAGATCACATCTGGGCTTACCCACAACGGATATTCTAATATTGGACACATACATAATCTAAGAGTATCCACATTAGTGTGTCGTTGAGCATTATTATATTAACGAAAGTTGTTATCAAGAAAATATTTATTTAAGACTGTAAACTAGACGTCGTCTAATATAAAATGAGTCACGTCAATCACGCAGGTAGCCGCCCACTGAAAAATTGGTCGCTTGCGAGTTGTACTCAAATTATGCTATTATACTTTCATCTCTATCTAGCCCAAGAAAAAGACATAAGTTTTGCAGCGGGCGACTACCTGCGTGATTGACGTGACTGTTTTTATACTAGACGATGTCTAATATCTAAATCTCTCTCGATATAAAAAATTTGATACCCAACCTCAACTTAGGTACCTACCTATGTGATGCAGCATTTTGATGTTCTAAAATAATTGGATATCTGATGGTTGCATTTTAGGTTTCAGACCATGCAGAATGTTTTATGAAGAATAGAACTCTTTTTTTCGTAATGTTAATAATACTACTCTTCTATATGCAGTTATATGCTGTGAACTTAGTGGGCACACTGAATGTTTGTGTCCTTGAAGGATTCGGAGAGGCGCGAGTTTCCCTAAAGTGGCAACCAGCACCTGACGGGGGTTGTTAACTTTCTTATTTCTTAGGAATAAAGAGTCATTACAGCACCAAACAAAACACATAACACTAACAGTGAGCTGTGGAGTATGTGCACTGAGAACGCTCAGGGAATCATTGGTAATTACGTGCTGTCTGTGTCTATTGGGGGGGGGGTGCGAAGGATGCTTTGGATGTTTTATCACATAGGTGCTTTCTCAAAATTAAATACACATTACTGTAGTACCTATTTATTTTTAGTAAATACCTACGTGGAGTAATCATGTTATGTCTCATGTGTCTTTGGTTATGAAGCCGGAAATACTTTGCAAATTTCATGAGAAATCACTAAACAACATCAAGGTACATAATGGCAAATATTTGACCTTGTCTGTTTACAATACAGTTAAATTTTTAGGAATGTCAAAAGATAAATCTGCAATAATATAAGCGACTGCAGCCCACAAAGCAGTTCCTTTATCTAACGGCTCTGGCTCTTCAACGTCCATGGTGTCGGCAGCCGAATGGTGATACCAGAAATACCGTTCATTTGCATTATCCAGTGAAGCGCCAGGAACTCCTTGGTTAAGCCATGGAGTTAAATCGGGGCCTCCATCTGCTGGAGTTAAAACTTTGGTCGTATTCAGTTCACGCAACAAACTAAAACATTAAAAAACTATCAAAGCACAACAGGTGCATTCATTCTACTTAAGTATCTCTTGTATTATACATCCAACGATGGGCAATCCGCTGTACTTTAGCCCAAGAGGTGTAAAAGTTCCTATATCAGATTCCATTACAAAGTTTAAATTTTTTGTCTCATTGCTATGTTCTTTAGCATAAGCAAACGCACCAATATAACCTTCCTCTTCACCTGTCCATAAAATTGTGCTAAAAATGTGCAACAGTTCAAACCATGCTTGTTGGCAGATGGCTGCACCTTACCGTATTGTTCGTTTGGCTCTAAATCCCATCGCTTTTAAAATTGCTAAAGCAGTCCAAGAGATAAATGCGCCACCTCCGTCATCCATAGCACCCTCGCCGACATCCCAACTATCGATGTGTCCAGAAATGACCACAACTTTATCAGGATGAGTTGTGCCCTTAATTTCAGCTACTACATTTCTAGATATTGCTGGTGGTAAAAAGTGTGCTTCCATCTTCAGTTTAATGTAGATTGTCTTCCCCCGTTTATACATTCCATGAAGCATATTTGCGTCCTCTCTTGTAATGCATGCCGTTGGTATTTTGGTAATATTGTCAGCATAAGCTTGCCAACCAGTATGAGGTGTTGCCAAAGAGAATGGCGTTATGGATTCAATTAAGGTGGCAACTGCACCATACTTTGCAGCCATTGATGCTCCATCTCTCCTGTAAATTACCGACTCGCCATATGACGTGTATTTCTGATTATAGACAACAATTTTTCCTTTTACCTAGAAGTAAGTTGTAAAGGTGTTTGTTTCAACATGCACTTTTAAATTCTTACTTTTGACGATATCTTTTTCAGCTCTTCAAATGATGATACAACTACCGCTTTAGCCAAAATACCTTCAGGTGGTGTACCTACACTGCTCCCTAAGCCCAACATGGGGAGATTCTTGACCCTTGGGTGCAGTAATGTTGCTGATTCTTCACCCCTTTACAAAATAAAAGGTACCTAATGTAGTTAGTTTTTTATTTGAAAACTTGGAGTATCATTTGTGATTCGGAGCAATACTATTTTTTAAACTTCTAGGTGAGCAATAAAACCTTAATGAAAAATGTGTTCATTACTTTTGATGCATAAGGTAAACGTCCCAAATATCGGCCAGGTCCTATTTGTCGCTAAGATTTCTACACTTATTCAAAAATAAGAATTGCACATTTTTCGCGGATTTATGAAACGTCTGATAAACATTGCGTTTCATTCTTGCTAATGCAGTTTTAGTTTCAAGAGCGCTATAGAATATTTTAATGTTGCATGTTGTGAGTTGAGCAGTGAACTTCGATTTGCTATAACTAAGTGAGTAGGAACAACTCATTCCTATCTGTTAATAAGTGGTATATAGTCTCACGAAGCCTTTAGAGTAAGTTTTATTAGGATTATACATACTATGAACTTTCATTTGTAACTAATTTGATATTTAATTAATAAACATTATTTATTTAAAAGGTGGACTGTATTTGGGACATCCAGTTTGGTATAGACACTATTATCGGCCGCCTTTTAACAGAGATACTTGCAAATTTTCACAGCTTCTTTCACCAAGATATACGCATGCATTTGATATTTAGGTGTTGAAAAACCAAAGTTGGTGAGCAAAAAAGAACACTAAGTATTTGGTTCCCGAAATTCAAAAATATTTATAAACCAATGGTATCTCACTTTTCTGCCATTATGTTTACCTTTTGTGTACTTAGTAGATATATGATTATCACCAGACTATTTGTTTAGTTGCCTTTTAGTAAAGCTTTATTTACATCTCGAAGTATGACCGGTATTAGGTACAGTCCTCGGCGGATAATAGGAACATCATAACTTCCAATAAGACGATATTTGGGACATTCAGTATTTTTGAAATATTTAACAATTTTATCGAAAATACATAACTTATTCGGACTTTGAAAAATGTATCCACAAAATGAATTCATTAGCCATCACTCTTTTTTTCATAACCTATACTCTGAGAGGTAATTTTGTGTAGTTTCTCAAGGTTAGGGCTTATACAGTACACCTGTTCTGTTGCTCGAAAACGCTTGATTTCGTTCTACGATATCTGAATTCTGAGTGAAGATGAAGAAGGGGTCGAATCTTCCTGTGAAAGGTGAATGCTTTAGCTAGACAATAACGCCGGGGTTTACTAAAATGTTTTAAAATAATCTTTTTTTTTTAAGGGTAACGTTGAGGGCTGTTAGAGTGCCATATTTTGGAAAAGAAAAAAGGAAATAGATTTTCCTGGCGTTATTGCCTAGGTATTAAGTTTACGGACTTATCTCAATTTTGGAAATTGTTCCAACTTCATTTATAGATAAGTTATCTTGGAAAGTCAACTTAATAGTTTTCCTCAAAAGCGCGAAAAGATAGCTTCCGCCGCGCCGCTTGGTTTATACAGATAGAAAATGTGGATTATAATTGGTCTAAGTTTATGTTTCTCCCATCCCATCCCAAATTAATATAATTGGCCCAATTTGGCGATTGACAACAGGCAACTTTACATACTCCGTTCTGTATGTACTGTCCAGCCTTAAGTGGCCGATGTTTGGGACGTTTACCTTATTTAATTTCTTTTCACTGACCTAGAATAATGTGTATGATACATGTGTGTGTGGCGTTTTTCTGATTTTCTGTATTCTACCAATATTAACGAATCAGAGAAATGTTTGTTATTGTGTATAGACTTAGACATTGACGTAGATAAATAGAAATGTTATTTTACTAAAAATCTTCCCAAGTTTTTTTGTAATTTCAAGAAGTGACCAAACTTTTCACTGCAATACTAAGTGTGGGCAACAATTGAAAATGGATAACAACAATGTTGCAAAAGGAATATGTACAGATAAAGTTGTTAAGATAAGTAAAGAAAATAAAATTTACCTAACCCAGTGTGGTACTACGACGTCTTCCCCATGAACATTTTCCAAATTGTACATTTCAGACTTGATTATCATGTAATCTATAGCATTTTCAAGATTTTTTGATCCGGAAATGCGATTACCGAATTCACTTATAAATTCATCAAGATGATTGTAGGTTGAATTTTTAAATTTTCCATTAATTGCAGCAATTATCTGATTTGCAATATTTTGATAAGAAGCAATTTCCTGCTTTATACTGTTTGACAAATTGCATTTCTCAATGGTATTATCTTCTTCATTACAAAGCACTAATGTTAATACTAGCAGGTTTAATAGCCAAGGTAGTATATTATGCATTATCATATCACAGTGAGATTAGATGAGCACACAACACTGGTCGATCGCTAACTAATAAGAGGGTGCATGTGAGAAGAGTAATAAGATTTGACAAATTATACTCCATTCAATTACAACATGATTATACTGCTTGCTCTTGACCTCTATATGTTACAATCATGTGACAGGAACAGGACATTGTATTGTGGGTTGCATCGTACAGGAGAATTTATCATCACAGATAAAATATTCAATTTATTTATGCAATCTAATATACATATAGTCTATGGGATATACCAATATTCCACAAATTAATTAATAAAGGAAAAATAATCATAAAAATGTGATAATAAATAACTATCGTTACCTACTTTGAGACAATGTTTATTAATGGTATAGCCTTCAATCACGTTATAATCGTACACCAGGCCTTGAATGTAAAGACAAATACAATAAATCAGTGTCATTTATTTCCATGAATTGAAAATCACGGTCAAATCACATTGTTCAGTAGGTACTTTGCGCACAAACAATATTAATTGGTTATTGTAATTAAACAATTAATATTAGTTTAAAGAAGATCTCAATCAAATTTATTTGTGTCAAACTTGTTTCAGTACTAGCAAGTACAAGCGCACTGATCCAGGGTATTTCCTCTTTAGATTATATAGTAGTTTATCAATTATTGAGAGTTTGGTTTTGAAGATACGGGTTTTTTTCTTAACGATGCGGAAACATAATATATTATGAAAGTTCCATTCGTTGTCAGATCCACATTCCGATTCTAAATTCATCAGAAGTGATAATGACATCTAATATGGTCGCAGAATGGTCTGTTACTCTTGTGGATTCGGTTATTAATTGATACATGCCTATGGTGTCGAGAAGATTTGTGACTTTGACTCTCGATGATGATGCAAAGTTAAGTAAATCTATGTTCAAATCGCCAGTGCAAACAACGTGATAGCAACTATGCATTGCAGTTGTCTTCAATAATAACAATAGAGCTTAATATATCTGACTTAGGGAGTCTAGGTTTTTTATAAATACGTCACTTGTTCACTGCAGGTACACTCGTACTACCATTGTTTAAATACTATCAGCAGAATCATATATGGTTTAAGTAAGTGTAAGGTTATAGTTTTATCACGCAGAGAACCCAAAATCTGATGTGTTTTCAATTGTAGGGGGTGAAATATGCTATTTTTTTTAACTAAAACAATAATAAAATAGTAAAAAAAAGGCAATCATGAATAAAAGCCCCTACAGTAATGTGTACTACAGACAATGGTTCCACTTTAGACTATGAAACTTCTCTAATGGTTCCACCATTTACAATTACTAAAAATTGGTTTCATGGCAATATGGCTTGAATCGCCTTGTATAGATAAAATTTTTGATAAAATGGCAAGTTGGCAACACTGTTTCCTAACCTATTAATTTGTAAATGTAATGTTTTGGTTAAATTTGCTAACTTAATGGATATTCTAAAAGCAGAAATAGCAAAAAAACGCAAACAGTTGGAAGATAAACAACTAGTGGTAAGGTTTCTTGTAGCAAAAGGAATAATTATTAAATACGTCTGTTTAGGATAGTCAAAAGAAGTATTTTAAAAGGGGCGACTTAGTATCAAAGGAAATTGAAGAATATCAAGCCAAATATGGCCAAACCAGGAACGAGGAGCTTAAAGATTTTACTAATACCATTGAAGGTACGACACAGTCTTTAGTTTTAAGTTATTTGTTAAAATCTTTCTCTTCAGGGTCACTTGCGGCAGACCGTGGTACGGAACATTCTGTTCTTCCAAGATGCGAGGTCATCTCTCGACTGCGTGATAGAGGGGAACCTATATTCTTGTTTGGGGAAACCGAATCAGATGCGTTTAAGCGTTTGCGCAGATGTGAGATTTTAGAACCGGAAATGAATCGAGTATGTAGAACTGTCTGTTATTGCTCTGATTAAAATTGGTGTTGCAGGGTTTTCGAAATGACTTTCAAGAAGCGATGGAGAAAGTTGATCAGGCTTATCTGGACGAAATTTTAGCTTCTAGTGAATGTCGAGAGGAATCAAAGGTTATGAACAAGCCACAGGAACCGGTTGCCACATATGAAGAGATACAAGAAATGGCAAAGGAGTTGGGATGCGGAAATCGAGAGTATGACATGACTCTTATAATGAAATTTTTGTTGGTTGGTAAATTGGACACCAAAACTCAAAATAATGCCTTTTGGAAGGGGCAGTGGGAATACTGCCGAAAATCTTTGCATATTATTTCTTTTATTAACCAGTTAAAAGCAATCAAGAGCACACATTAGGTATTTGTTACCAAGGTCTTATTTTGGGCTTTAGATTTTAGAACCAAATATTGTAAAATATCAACTAAAATTTTATTTTGTAGTTGCTGATGAAAAAGTGGAATGATCAGTTAAATAATCGTTCATCAGAAGTAAAAATGGCTACACGAGGTAAAATGGCAGGAGCGACCTGTGGTCAAACACAAGTGTATTTAAAACCTCTTATACGAAAACTAAAAACACACACACTACCTGAGGATATTTTAGAAAGTCTGACTGAGATCACCCAACATCTCTTAAATCGTAACTATTTAAAGGTAACAATTTAACATTAATTGAATGCACAGTGTCAATACTTTCTAGGCAAGTGATGCTTACTTGCAAATGGCAATTGGTAATGCTCCATGGCCCATTGGTGTTACTATGGTTGGTATTCACGCTCGTACAGGACGTGAAAAGATCTTTTCAAAGAATGTCGCACATGTAATGAATGATGAAACGCAACGTAAATACATTCAAGCTATCAAGCGGTTGATGACTAAATGCCAAGAGTATTTCCCCACTGATCCGTCAAGGTGTGTGGAATATCAAGCTTTTGGTAGTACTAACGAAAGTACTAATTAAGTTAATTGGTTTATATTCAGGATGTGTAAATTTGTGACTAACACTTTTAGCATAGAAAATTAAAAACCCAATTGATAATTAATTTATTTTTTTATTTTACGAGTATCTACCGGTTGATATCTCTAAGAAATCACAAATCCAAATTTTTCATTAACTAATTTTAAAACTAATCATCATAAATTATGGCGATTTTTCTTAGCATTGAAATCCCTATGGTGCGGGTGCGTAAACCGTTTCTACACCCTGTAGATATTTAACCACTGATCTGACAATAAATAAATGGCTATCACTGTATTTCGTAAACACATAATGATCTAGTAGCTCAATCTGGTTACGCAATTATAAGGTCGGAACGGTTTCGTTACAATGATACGTAGGGAATAAATATTAAATTCCGAAAGTGGTAGATTGGACCCTTCCGACGGTAAAAAATCCTCCAGCGAAATCAAAAGTTCTAGGGTGTAGTTTTTAGAACAGTTAATCCTTGTGTTCATGGATTGCAAGCAAGAACCGGGGACACTATTTGTATTCACAGAAAAGGGGAAACTTGTTTACTAAACCAGACGTTTTTTTCACTCTAACTTTCGGTCAATAAACAATCAAGTTTATTTTATTTTGCCTTTATTTTTAAGTGGGCGGGGTTTCAGCCAAGCCTGCTCTACCAACCCAACCCACTATACATTTACAAATATCCATGCCCGAACTAGGGGCCCTTAGCACCACAGTTCAGCTTTAACTGAACTGCGCCACACGGGCCGGCCAGTTGAATCCCCATTTTTTCATTAACAGTGACAGATTTTTTTGTAGCAAAAAATAGCACAACGTGTTTAATTAACCTGTCCTTGACCGAACACGACTCCAATTTATGCGATGAAAACGCGCGTGTTTCACAATGAAGTTTTTTCGTCAACCTCTTAATAACAACATAAATTACACCTTAGTAATATTAATTAATAAGATATTAATTGATTCTCTCTGGTGTAAAATTCAAGTTCGCACGTGTCATAGTTCGTCTAATCCTAAATAGCTGCTAGGCTGGCAACCCAGGTTCAATTCCCGACAGATGCAGCATTTTTTTAATTCCATACATATCATTTAGCATTTATACATTATACTCACATTCTAGATACCTCCCTACACTGTTATGCTAGACGTTTTAATATAATAGGTATTTTATATTCAAAGGTGCTTTCAATTGTCTTCTTTTGCGTCCTCATACAAGCGAGAGAATGTACCTTGCTCCTTGTATAGGATAAAAAGTATTATATAAATAATATGCTCCCACTGCAATTATTTTTGATGAAATTCTACATTATTGCAACGTTATGTTCAGTTATTTAATATTACGTCATTCCTCATCCATTTTATAAACAAACATTTCTCACAAGGTATGTGAATATAATATTGCAAGGCTGAAACTGCAAGGGATGCTGCAACCAGAACACATTGCAAAAGCAGCATTTTAGTGTTAACATATGTGCAACCTCTAGTCTCGTCCTGCAACTTTTGTAGGCGGCTGCAAAATAAAAACGTTACTTTTGGCTAGTGTGTGAACACAGTAATCAACTTCAGCAGCTGCTGCAAAAATACTCTGCAACAAAAAGTAGCCGTGTGTTGATACTACCTTAAAAGTGGTACATCTCAGATTCATATATGTTATAAATGCCGAAGGTAATTATACAGGGTGATTCCTATAGTACCTGCCACCGTTTGGGAGCGTGTAGGTGGTGCGTAGGGGAGTATTTTGATATAGGACACTTGGGGTCGGAAATCTAAAATAAGGGTGCCAGAGCCAAATTTACCTTCTGGAATTTCGCGCCTGTAGGTAGGCAACCCAACCGGCCGGCGGTGCACACGGAGCGATCTCAGGCGGCGATGTGTGGCTGACACTTGATCAGAATTTTGTTTAAACCCACGAAATCCCGTCTGCAACGACGCGTATCAAGTGAATAAACACTATGGCAATAGTATAATAATAGTTGGCTAGATGTAGGAAGTGCATTGAGAACAACGGTGGCCACGTTGAACACTTGTAAACGTTATTGCTTTTGACTGTCGTTTTCCCTCCTTCCCTCCCATGTCGCTTCCTCGCGCTAACTCGCTCTGCATCGCTCCGCGCGAAACGTCGGTCGGTTGGGTTGCCTACATACAGGCGTGAAATTCCAGAAGATAAATTTGGTTCTGGCGCCCTTATTTTAGATTTCCGACCCCAAGTGTCCTATATCAAAATACTCCCCTAGGCACCCCCTATACGCTCCCAAACGGTGGCAGGTACTATAGGAATCACCCTGTATACCACATAAAAATCATTAGCAATCACATGCGAGTGCAACAGCCAACAGCTTTATCATTTGTTTACAATTGCAAAAGAAATGATAAAAAGTATGATTTTGTTCTTGTGGAAATAACACAAACTTTGCTAAATTTAATGTGGCTTGTATAAAGCAGATCAGTATCTTTATTAATGCATAAACAAAAACAACAATTGAAATATCAATCCGAGCACTAGCGCAAGTCCATGAATTTATTGCCAAATTTTCACCTCTATAAATGAAATCAATTATGTTTTTGTTGACCTAAAACGGCAGACCGTTTTGCTGCGGCTTCCAAAGCATCCATTAAAGTAGCTCTAAAACAATTAATTCCTCAGTGTCCTGAAACGTACTACACACTACTTACCGAAGTCCTCCCTTTTCTAATTCATGAATGCCAGCTATTGTAGTTCCACCGGGAGATGTAACTTCTTCCTTTAAAACACCTGGATGTTTGCCTGTTTCTAACACCATCTTAGCAGCACCAAGTACAGTTTGAGCAGCAAACATTGTCGACGTCTTACGAGGGATACCTAATTTTACACCGCCGTCTGACAAGGCCTCAATAATTATGTATATCTACAATGTAAAGGGTAATACTCTGCCCAATGGACAAGTGAATTACAAATGCGGGTCCACTTCCTGCCAAAGCACCAACAGCACTGATTAAAGATTCTGGTACTAATTCACATACACCGGAGACTTCGAAGATGGTCTTCACCAAATTTATGTCATCCTCTGTAGCATATTGGCCTGGGCAGTATACAGAACAGCCTTCACCCACAAGCAGAGGGGTATTCGGCATCACACGCATAACTCTTGCACCATTCACTTCTTGTAAAATCTATAATTGAGCTCTTTATCACAATTTAATTTGATAATCATACATTTTCAATAGCAGCCAAAGTTGTGCCTGCTAACACAGAAATGAACAATTTGTTTGTTGCTTTTGCGGGTGTGTATGTTTGTAGAAGTTGTGCAACAGCTTCAGCCAAAATATGAGGTTTTACTGCTAAAAATATCACATCTGCTTCGTCTGCAATCTCCCCATTAACAGTCGTGGTGAAGGCCCCTTTATCCTTCCAATATTGCAAACTTGAAGTTGTAGCGCTTGACACGTATACTTGTGAAAATGAGATTAATTCTAAAAAGTACATATCATTTATAAAAGAAGGAGAATTACAAATCACTTACTTTTACGAACCATTCCCTCACATATTGCTTTTGCTATATTTCCTCCTCCTATAAAACCAAATTTTTGAAAAAATTTTACACTTTTACTATCACACGTTTTTAGACTGTTCATTCTTTATTTTCAAAATAAATGCAGGCAAGGTAGGGCAAGGATAAAAAGTTACGAAGAAGCTATTGAGAAACAGACAAAGTGAGGTTAAATTAAATTTGTCTACGGCAGATACATACAGGGTCAACAAAGAAATATGCCAAAAAATTGGTAGTACTATTGATTATGGTGTATATAAGCAATGATAGTAGGAACCAACCTTGAGCATTGGTGTGTATAATCAAAGTCTTGAATAGGAAGGACAAACATAGGTAGGTAAAAACGGAGAAATGCTGATCTCGATAAAATTTGGTACCTATCTGGTAGTTTCTGAATGTGAAAATAAATTCCAAAATTATAGTTTCCGAAAATTCGGAAAACCACACTCGTGCTTCCGCGGCAAATGGTTAAAATAAAGTCGTTCTTTCGCTGCAATTGATTAAACCGAAAATTGCGGCGCCTGGATTTTTATTAATATATATTCTATATATTAAATGAAATAACTAATTTGAAAACAAAATCTAACACAAATTCCGTTAAACATAAAGTATGTATTACTTACCTCTGCCAAATATTACAGGTGAGGTGACTGAAGATCCACATTTCCGATGTGTATGATATTTAGCAACATATATGATTCACTCTTAGTGTAGGTATATAGCTTCCTTACCTAAAGGGCAAATTGCATCAGCATTTAAACCGTAGGGGATAGTATATGCTATATTTACTTATCACCTTATCAATGTCGGTAAACAGTGCAATTGAATTGATATCTTGTTATGTTATCGTGACATTTTATAAGCTAACTGAACTACACTGCATAATTTTTTAGGGATGTGGATGTTAATGGGATAAAACCAGATGCTAAATTTTTGACAGAATAGCTTCCTATCTCAAACCAGATATTTTTAAAAAACCTTTATTGGCAGTCAATTACATACGCTGCCAAAATTTTAACAAAATCAAGACAACTCGCCCTTCCCGAAAAATAGCTATTTATTTATACAGTGCGTTCGAGATAAGAGGGTCACCTCTCTTTTATTTGACGAGATACAAAAAAATTTCTTAAATATAATTATGTTATTATATATGTCATGATACTGTATTTGTATCATGGTTCGGAGCTCTGTTTAAAACTCACTTCATGCAACAAAAACGTGATTTGGTACATTTCTTGAATGCTTAAATTGTCACACATACTTATTATTGCTTTTCAAAAACATGCTGTGGGGGGGGGGGGGTTTCCGATGTTTAGTAGTAAACCGTAAAAGATATCTACATGTCGAGATGACGTCACATGCTCTGTCTTTCAAACTTTCATCGTTAATAACTTAACTACTTATAGTAGAAAACTCCGGTTTGAAATTTTGTTCTTAGATTTTCTTCTACAATTTTTTTTATTTTGGGTATACTACCCCTTTAAATGGGCAAAGAATTACAGAATTTGAAGTAGATTAAGTTTCCCGTTCAGAGTTTCTTGTAACTGTACACACTAACGAAGTTATGGTCAAAACACCGAAAAATGTCATTTTCGAAAATGCTTTGGCGTTTATTTATTTTCAATGATATTCAAAAATGGTTTTCTGATGGTGCTAAAATAAAATTTTTATCGCTTGTGAGTTTCGAGTAAGTACGATCACATCAACTTTATTCTTATTTCTTGTAATATAATACTTTATGCTTGAAACTGTGCATCACAGCCATTGAAACGTCATACAAAGAGAGCAAAAATATAACAAACTTTACGTACAGGTACAAACAACATTGAATTAGTCCATAAGTGAGCAAGTGGATTGCTGATGTGAATCTAGCCCTTAGATCTAGCCGCCATATTGGATTTTTGTCATTCGATAGCGAAAAAAATTTCAAAAACGTAGCGATACCTATATCATTTGGGAATCAACCTTTGCATGTATGCAATAATTCCATTGCCGTGTCTATACGAGACAATAAACGAACGAATTTGGTTTCCAATCAAAATCAGCCATGGAATTATGGCCATAAGAAATACATCGTACACTAAAGAGACAAAAATGCAAGGTTTTTAGAATGTTTTCAGTAATTTTAATAGGCTTCAAGCACTTTCCAATGGCTGTAGGTACTTTCTATTCTCAAAATGCTTGGTAATTCCACTCTGTCATTACATAAGTGTTTGATGCTTTTAAGCACTTTTCAAGAGGTTTAGGTACCCAGTTCTGGCAACCACTAGATTTTATTGTAGAAATTTAATCCAAATTCGCCATGTTTCATCACTAGGCATTAGGGCGTCTAATCCTCTATCCAAATGAGGCGAGCAGATTTGTCAACCTCTGCCCACTTTTCTATCTTCCCATGTCTTCAACTACTGACACTGAAAATGTCTTGTACATCCCGGATACTGTTATTCAGACTGGTATTGCAGCAATTTCCTAATTAAATGTTTCAAAGATTAAAAAAAAAGATATTGTATAAGTATATTGTGTATTACAAAAAGAGTATCAACTACTAAACATTATACAAACAAGATTTAAAATAGTACGTATTTAAAATACATCTGCCACTGCATCTTCCAAAAACCTCTTATATAAACACATAAACTTAGCAACAAAAGCCTCAAAGTGAAAAATTGCCTTATTTCCATGTTGTAATCTATGCTCGAACAGTGCAGCTTGTGATATAATTTCAGCCTTCAACGATATGTCACAATTCTTCACCAATTCGCTAACCATAGTTTGAAAAATAATGTTGTTTGGTATACCATGAATAATCAATTCGTATAGATCACCTCGAACACTCGCTAACGTGTTTACACTCTGCTCGTGACTAATTTTCCTCGCCATTGCACGTATAAACATCAACCAATCAGGTTCAGCAATATTTTGGTTTGGTGCAAATGGATACTGTTCCACCTTACAAGCCTCACACATCAGTATTGCTCGACGTAGATTGCGATTCGATTTCTCGGCAATCTTCTGAGCAAATTCGGATCGTATTGTTAGGCCCTCCTTTTTACATATGGTTTGTAGAATACAGCAAATTTCTGGTACAGTGGGGGCGGCAACTCGAATTCCCAAACACCTGCTGCGAATGGCGGGTGTCAATCTGGAAGTTGAATTTGCGCACAGAATCAGACGACAGTTTGCGATATATTTCTCCATAGTACGCCGTAGGGCATGTTGTGCATCTCTAGTTAAATTATCGACATCAGTAAGCACAATTATTTTAAATTCTCTTTGCCCGTTAACATCCAGTTGCTGAGTTTGCGCGACGTTTTTTATTAGATCCATTACAACGATACGATCGTACATACCCACGTCGGAGGGATTAATTTCAATGTGATAGTTACTGCTAACGGTCATAATTTCTAATTTCTTTTTGGACGGTGTTGTGAAATTTAATTGCTCCATACGTAACCGTTCGACACCGGAGCCGTAAAGGTCCTTTAGTATGCACATGATTCTAGTTTTCTTACCAGCACCAGAAGGCCCATAAATGAGTAAATGGGGGAAGTCGCCTTTATGTGTAAGCTTCTTTAAATTTTCGGCTTGTTCCTTGTGATAATCTAATTTGGATAGATCCTTTGGTCTGTATTTATCAACCCACAAACTCATTTTTTAATCTTTAGAAGAGTAATTTCGGTAAATTCGCGCGGTTTTTACTTTTTAAGGTTATGATTATAAATAAGCCACTGTGTCTAATTTACCTATTATTTACAGAAGAATTAAACTGGAGCATATTTCATCATTGTTGGGTCTTGAAATAGGGGTGTCGTAAAGCTTTCGTAGAGATACTAATTTGTAAAGTAATAAGAATAATAATATAAATTTAAATTATGTGAGGTTTATATTTGTTCTGATATTCTGGTGTTACTTAGCCACTATGTGTTGTCCTTCTATAAACATTTTAATTATTTAGTTTACAAATTAATGTTGTATATGTTAAATTACCTTTTAAAATGTCTGAAGAAAACATTAGCGACGATGAAATTATATTGGTGATTGAAGACGTCTCCATAAAATGTTCAAAGAAAGATTTAATTGAAAATAGTGATTACTTCAAAGCTATGTTTGAGGGTAACTTTGTAGAAAGTAAGAAGAACATTGTACGATTGCAAGTAAGCAATTTCCCATTGCATATACCTTATAATTTACAAAGATTCTAGGGAATCGACTTAAAGGCGATGAATATTATTTTATCATTGTTATGGGATCGTACATTTTTAATAAACGAAGAAGATATACTCTCAGTCTTACAGGTTAGCTGTATGTTACAATTTATTGAAATTAAAATGATGTGTGTAGCAAAACTCACTGAATTATTATTACCTCGCAACTGTCTTAAAATATGGATGGTAGCTGAACAGTTAGACTTAAAACCGTTGTACTTAAAAGCAAAAAGTATGTCTTTAATAGAATTTGATGTGATTAAGGATTTCGATTGCATAGCTGACTTACCTTTGAAACCACTATGTTCTTATTTGGGAAATGTCAATTTGCAATGCAAACAGGAAATGGATGTTTTTCGGACATTAATGAAATGGTGGTACGACAACTCCTCCAAGTACTCAAAGACAGAGCATAGTGATATTTTTCTACGTTTTTTCTACTGCTTAGATTTTAAGAATCTTAAACAATCAGATATACAAGAAATCATGACTTATCCCGATATTGCTTCAGAAGAGCCAATTGTAAAAATAGCGCAGTGTGTGTTAGATTTACGCCATGACTTCCGTAATAATTACGATGAAGATATTAGAAATACTGCACAATTATTAAATAATGCAAAATCAAGAAGTTTTAAAGAGTATCCTTGTATTTTGGTAAATACCTGTCCAGAGGAACAAAAGTGTAAAAAACTAAAAGGGACTGTGGTCTATGAAGGTAGTACATACATATCTGAAACCAGATTGTATGCTTGATCAATTATGTTCTAGATAAATTCATGCGGAAAACTGCATATAATAATATTGAGACGTCAGATATGGCTGCTGCAATTATTTATTACGGTAAGAAGTGTGCAGGTGGAGAGGGGCCACATAGATTTTTTTCGCACTCAGACTTTGTCTTTAGTGTTCGAATCTACAGTTTAAACTCCAATTTTAGTACCTATTTTCTCAAAATTTCGTTGTTCCAAATTCAAAATCACAAAGGCTCTTAATAGTCTAATGAGTTTGTGCCCTATTATATCCCTTCCATAGCTCTGCTCTGGAAGCACCTAAGAGTGTGCAGTTGCATATATGTTTATATTCTGAGCGTGGAATTGGGAATCGAGCAATTGAGTGAGTTTATAGTACTGTCACATAAGATCAGGAACAGCTGGTAATTGTGTATTTATGTGTAACTGTAATTCTATACCAAAATCGTCCCCTGTATGAATTCTTGTACAAGAAAGTGTGGCAAACACAAATTCTCCAAAGAATGGGCAGACTATTTTAACCAAGCATGATATCGTTTAAATCTGTGGTAATATATAAAATCTATACCTATCCTTTCTACACCTTCTATGTGATCGGTGAAATGTATAAAGATATGTATTTCTTTTAGATAATGCAACAAAAAATTTTGTAAAACTCTTGGAAATTGATAAGGCAAAATGTCGCAATTTGGAGGGGTTTAAAATAGTCGGTTATAAGGAGTTTATATTCTTACTTGGTGGCGAATATTTTTTAGGTAAAGGTAATTGGAATAAAAACGTTTGGGCTTACGACATTATTCGGGAGAGTTGGGAACGTAAAACTGTGTACGTGTACTACCTAGTTCCGAGTAGTTTTCTAAATGAAATAAATGTTTTAGTTTACCTTTTGAAAGACGACATTTTGAATGCTGTGTTTGTGGAGACTACATTTATATTATCAGTGGAACTGGCAGATATAGGGTGATTTCTGATAATATGTTTTGGTACAATTACAAAGAAGGTACTGTATTATGGTCAGAATTAAGGATTTGTGAGTATGCAATGAGGCAACTAAACACACACCAGGTGAAGAATTCTAACACATTCATTACGCTGGACCAGTTTCATTGTAGGAAAACAAACCCATTTTAGGCACCATATCCGTCAAGTTAGAAAAACTGCAGACTATTATAATCAATTCTTAAGCAAAATAAAAATAAATAAATAGCATTTTTATAAATGAAACAATTACATTCCTAGTATTGATGGAATGGGTTACTAATAATACATACATATGATTGATTGTGCTTTTATGCATAAATTTGGGTATTACTTTACTTTGAATTGCAATTTTACAGTTACATGAGTGTAGGCGACAAAATTGGAATAAATCATTTTGTGAACTGGCTTTCCTAACTCTACAGGTACCTCAAAGGTATGTACCCTGGGCCAGAACTGTCCTCAAGTTCTTACCACAGTATCTTTAGTTGCTTCTATATTTGCGAATCATTACTTCTAACCTTGACAGTACATTGCCATATGAGTTTTGTTCACTCTAACAGTTGTGTTTAGATAAATGGAGTAACGAAATAGCGTTGCCATATTTGGATAGACCCGTAATTTGTTGTAACTTGAACAACGAACTATTTTTATTTTTTCCTCACTACCGATATGGCTATGTCTTTGATCAGCAAAAAACGCTGTGGTACAAAGTGCACATTTCCGTTAGCGATGATTGTGCAGCCAATTTTTCACCGAGATCTACAGTATTCTCATACAAAAATCGTTTATGTATTAGAGGTAAATGAATATCACACGAGAATAACACTTAATATAAATTAATTTAGATAACGAATGTATTGCTGAACTGAAGTTACACCAGCTAAATTTGGAAATGGTCTCCTACAAACGTCTGCCGATTCAAATGGGTCAACTTGAGTCCGTTATATGCGAAGATGTTGTTTATACTCTTTTCAAGCAAACTCTACCTGACAGTAATATATCAATGGAGAGGTACTGTATGAAAACCCAAAAGCGACATTTTGTATTTGCCAATGAAGTCGAAGGATCACTGCTTCAGTTACAAGGAGAAGTGTATACATACAGAATGTCAACCCCAATCTTTACTTTCCAACACTACAATTTAATAGAAAAAGATGAGTTTGTTAATTAAATGTTAATATATTGTTTAAAAAAACGACAGTATTTTCCTTTTCCACTCAAAGAAATAAATAGAAAATGTAAGATTAAGGTTACACTCAATATAGAAGCCAGGATATACAATTAAGTTATATTGAGGAACAATTAAATGGTTTACTTATTTACAGACTCTTAGAGAAAAATGTTTCTGCATCTTTTGCCACTCTTGACGTGACTCATCTTTGGTGCAATAAAATCCTTCCGGTAAGTGTAAGACGAAAAATTACATGGCTTTTTAAAGCAAATTCAATGTAACGACAAAATATGTGGAAATCAGTGGATCGCAACTCATATACTGCACATAGATGCTAAACCGAAAAGATTTTTATTAGCTATCGCCCGCCCGAGATAGATAGATAACCAGCCTACAGCTGATTGTCGAATTCAGTCTTGTTATTGAGTGTCATAATTCATTTGGTTAGTTTTTACCACCCCCGTGACCGTCTCTTCAAGGTGAAAATGTTAGTTTACAAAAAATAAGTCAGTACAGATACATCAAACAATTCGATAATTTCCACATGTTTAAAAAAATGATAAAAAAATATACATCTAAGTTGGGGCCAAGACCATAAACATAAACAAAAATTTAGCAAACATTACACCAAAAATGAACGCGATTTCAAACAAAAGGTTAACGGTATCAAACACGTGAATCTGCACGCTGATTAAATCCAGTAATCTTCAAAATCAATGATTGAAACTCTCATAAATAAAATGCTACATACAAAACACAATTATAAAAAGAAATGCAGATTACTGCCTGCATTAAATAACACAAAAAAAAAACAACAAACATTTCCTGAGCAATGCTTTCGTGACCACCATTAAAAAACAAGATGCCAAACGTAAGCTTTTCCCATTCTAAAAATTGCGTGAGTGCCAGCTCTCAAATGTGTGCATCATCGTAGGTTGTATATCCAGCTAGAGTGGAACGCTCTCATGATATATCTCATATTTATTTATTGTGTAATTGCACTGTTCACAATTAAAGAGTTAGGAAATGTTGTACGTTAGACGATGATTATTTAACTTATCATTGTTGGTTATGTAATTCCACTGTTCACTATTTAAGATGTTGGAATATTATGCGTTAGACGACGATTTTCTTAATTACCTATCATTATCGAGGTTGCATAATTGCATTGATCACATTTAAAATTCTAGAAAGGAACATGATAACATGTGACGTTTTGAAATTTTTTCAAGTGTATTTACTTTTACAGCTGTAAACACTACAATATTACTTTTGACCATTATAAATAGGAAACAAAATAACGGTCTTCTCACACCTGTATTAATTACAATCTACTGCCACCAGAGGTCTGTGGTAATCTGAATTGTGAATAAAGTACGCTGCTTCATTTTTCATACCAATTTTTGCGTATTTTGATACCATGGTTGCAATCTATGCCAGCCTTGAGAAACATTTTGCACTGATAATAGAATATTAATAACAGATGAATTCAAATAAAATAAACTTTGGCGTTATCAAAAATCTTGAAGATAACAGTGTTTTATATTTCAAAGGACTCTGCCCATGAATACCTCACTCAATTCGGTTGCTCCGAGTTAAAATGAGCTTTAAAGAGGTACATACCTACATTAATAGCTATAATATTCCATTTTCCTTTAAAATGACAAAATTGATTAAAATCTACATTTCTAATGGATGGGCCTATTTCATTGTGACAGGGCTCGTAGAACCAATTGCCAGTAACAAAACAAAAAATGAATTGAAGGATTTTATGTTACTATAAGTTATGATACATCATAGTATGGAAAACACAATGTCGATGTTTATTAGAAACTTTCAAAACAGGTGTTATTAAACTGCTTTTTCCAACCGTGACATGTGTCTGTTTTATTTGAGAGGGAGAAAAAGTTGATAGTTTTAAAAACCGTAATCTTCCAACTGCTGGTGCAAAGGTGTGAAACTTAAATTGTATTATAGGCTTAACATCATTTTCTTCTATAGGTGGACTGTTTTCAAACTCAAATTCGAATATTTCTTTCTTGATTTCGACTTCACATTCTGGGAACACTTCCTCAATGTGAAGCTTCTGATGTTGTGGTTTTTCTGGAACAGCTATCCTTCTTCTACTTCTCCTCAGCTGACCTTTTGCGTATTGCCAATACTCAATTTCAGGATCATCTATACTAATACTTTGAATATCTACCGGCCAAGTCATACACGTACCATTCATTTGTATCCTAGGATATTTCCAAATGGGAATTATCGCTTCCCCCAGTGTATTATAAAATGTGTCGCATAGTTCTCGACTATTCTGCTGCTCAATACACAATATGTTGTAACTTCTCTGTAAGGGAAAGTTGGTAAACTAGTGATACCAAATGGACACTTACCAATAATTCTAAAGTAAAGTCGGGTTCCGATTGTTCCTCTATCATGCCCATTAAAAAATTTAAGTGAGGCAATATAATGGAATAGATTGCATCCAAGCCAAGATGGTTAACTGCACATATTACAGGCAAAGCAAACTCATCTCTTACGTCCGAAAATTTACAAACCATTTTTTTCAATATAATCACTCTAGGAGTGACACGTTTGCATAAAAGCGCTAAAAGTTGGCATATCGGTCTGATTAGCTCGGAATTTGAAACAAACCTTAAGAGCCGTTGTAACAACAGTCTTGTGAGAAGCATAATCTAAAATAAATACTGAATTTATGAGAAACACACCTTCATTAGTACCTACTTGCTTTTCAGAAACAATCAGAGACGAAATAGGATTCAGTTCAAGTTTGCTAATCAAATTTAACGCTCTCATTGTAAGAGAATCGTAAGTTATATCTTTGCTAAGTAGTAAATATCCAAAATGATAAAACCACTCTATGATAGGTCCAATATTATTATTAGTCTTGATATTATCTAGTGCAGTTTCATATAGTTTTTCGTCTTTTGATACAATCGCCTCACACATAACAATAAAATATTGTTTTAAATTCGGTGAAATTTCCTTCGATTCAGGTAACCACTTTCTTGTTAAAATTGATTCTTCTGGTTGGACAAATGATAATGACTCTTCCGCCACATCAACTAGATTGACTTTAGCATCCTAAAACACTAAAAGTTAATGTTGATTCACTAGTCAGTAACTGACATCCAAGTAGTAGAGGTTTTGGTCACCAAACGGAATCCAAACAGGTTCTGTTTCCGCTCCGTAGACCTTTGGAATTTGGAGGCAGTCGAAAATATCATCAATATCATTTCCAGAAATGTAATTTTGCCCAGACAGTCTCGCTTGTACTAAGGCCTCCTAAAAACGTATTCGTTTGATACCTTTCCGTAGAAGTCTAACCTACATAAATTATGTGCCTCAGTCTGTAATTGATGTCTTCAGTGAAAGCAGTGCAGACTTCCTCGGTGAGATGTTCATTGATCGATTGTTCGGCTATTATAGTTAGTTCTTCTACACCATATCCAGAATATTTACGAAAACCATTGTCCTATAAAAAACAACAGCTGACTATACCCTTTATTATTTCTTGAATAAATTACTTTGTTAGGTGATCCTTTTTCTGAATTGGTTTGATTTGGTGTCTCCACTGTAGATTGTGATTTTCGTTTTTCACGATCTTTAGAACTTTTCTTTGATTTTGAATTGTTTCCTATTTTATTAGTTGAAGGTTTCATGCTTAAATAACGGGTTTATAACCAATGATAAACAAACATCTAAAAACTGAAAATTTATTCTTTGAATAGTTCACAGAGTACTATGAATAGTTCACATGACACACTTAGTAAGCACTATTATCGTACAAAACACCTACTACTAAAGATTCAAAAAAATCTTTTCAAAACCATACATCTTTGATTAAAAATCATATTTTGATCATTGTATATATAAATATACAATGTTTTGATCAACAATATTCGGATTTTCAGGACATTTTAATGATTTGAAAGTAGATGACCCTAATTGGAATTTAAATAGGCAACACACAATACTATGCAATCAAACATGCGTTTCTGTCAAGTTAGGTACCTTTGGAATTTTTGTTTACATGGGAAATCGTACTTAACTCGAACGCTACTCATTTTTGATCGCCCGTTACTTTTGTTTCATGGACAAGATATCGAGCCCAAAGAGCTTATCCTGGTGTTTATACTCTTATCATAGTACTTATAAGAAAGAAACCACAACGAAAAAGCTTAAACTGGAGGACTAGTAGTGGCACAAACGGACAAAGTGCAGACAATAGCGTTCATTTTCCTTTTTGAAAATGCGCTAAAAGTACCATTTTTATTTTTAAATGTTACAACAGTTTCAGACTGCCAGTATTTTTATTTTTTCTGTTTTTCTTTTATCTGGGTCAGAATTTTGAACCAGGTCTACGTTTTTAAACCTAAATAAAGTGACAAGGTCTACCCTCTGTGTATACCTACGACAAAACAAACGTTTTGGAGCCGGCAGCCGCACGACTTTTTAGGGTATGTATACTAACCTGGGTCTGCGCCGTCTCAAGACTCGGGAGTATGAACACTCCTCACAGCCACCTTGGTTTGAAATGACGTCGAGAGAAGATCGTATAGTTTAATTTTGTTCTTGTTTTTGTGTTTTTTAATGCAGGCATGTAGTAATCTTTGCAATTCCTTATAATTTATTTGTGTTTTGTATACACCATTTTACATTTTTTGGAAAATAATGTTCAATATTTGTCTCTGAAATTGACATTACTTTACTTATTAAATCTAAATGCTGCATCATGTGTACAGTAAAGCCGTCATCTTATACTGTTATCATTTTTGGTGTAAATGTTTGCCGAACTTACATTTTTTATAATATAATTTATGTATTTTATATATAGTACATTATATATAGACTATGGTCATTCATTAAAATTTGTGGAAATTATCGAATTGCTTGATGTTTGTATGGATTTTTTTTAATGCGAACATAGGAGTTTGCATGCAATGTAATTTCCCTATGTTTGATTTAAAAAAAAACACATCAATCTATTGAGTAGTTCAAATGAGTAGTAGATACAATGACAGCTGTCATATTTTTAAAAATACCGCCGTCCAATTTAATTGCGAAATCGGTTAGGTTATTGCTTAGAATGTCAAGGAGGACACTTCGAACATTTATTGTAATTGTTTTCGTTATTGACTTTCTTATTTTCTTCATTTATGTATTGAATAGATCAAATTAGTAGAATACCAGGTGTACATGACCTACAAATATTTGAAGGTTGGTTCACAATGAGTTGTGGTATGGGTATCCGTGCGTGGTCTGTGGGGTCAAGTTATCGTAAGTTTAAGAAAAATGTATCCTAAAGTTGCTATGGCCTCACATGGCTTCTTTAAAAAAATCTTACCGAGTGCTCTTCATCATAAAGACTATAGAGTTGCTGTTCATAGTCACACAAATCGAACATAGGGAAATTACATTGCACGCAAACTCCTATGTTCGCATTTAAAAAAAACTCACTGTATAATAGTTTTTTGTTCGTGAATTTTTTTAATTATTATTGTAGAGAGCTCTTTTAGGCGCAAAACTGTCTAATAAATTTATTATAAATTATGTAATGATGTAATTTGACGTTCATTCAACTTATTTAAAGATGATTTCCATCAATCGCATGCTCGAATCTACAATTTTAAGATTAGTTTCGGAAATGGATCATTTTCACCCCTAAAAATAAAAGGCCGCCCCCTGCACAAGACCATCTTTGAAGTGGAGGGTAGAACATAATCCAAATTTTTAAGGACATCTGTGCTGTTTTGCGAAATGGTATAGCAGTATATTTTACCTTCACTGACTGGGCTAATAGTACCTACTTCTACTACACATTCATTTTATAAACCAGTGTTCTAATCAAAATTTAAACACTCCAATTAGGGAATGCAATACCGGGATCGCGGGATCCCGAAATACTGGGATCCCGCAGCATTTTTGCGGGATTAATCCCGCACATAAATGGAGTCGGATCCTGCGGGATTTGCGGGACTGAGGAATTTGTCGATCAAGGCGACGACTTTGTTAATGAAACGCATAACGGAGAAGTTTTTTTTAAATAATTGTTAAACTTTTTTCGTTAAAAATGTACTATGATTTTTGAGGTACTTTAGAAGTTCACCTTTTTGTGCTTTACAGGTGAGGTTTTTTTGAGTTCTAAGTTAGGCTGAAGGTACTTTTTTTGTTAAATATGTATTGTGATAATTAGCGATTTATTTTAATACAGAAGTTAACCGCACAGAATTGCTTATTTACCAATTTATTTAAAGTTTTGCAGGATCCCGCAAATACCGAGATTCCGCAGGATTGACATCTAACAATCCCGCAAATACCAGGATTGAGATTTTGCTGCGAGATTGCATTCCCTAACTCCAATATATCAGGTTCACAAACTTATTTCATTCTCCAATAACAGTTAACATTTTGTTTTCCATCACTATCAGAAATGCTTCAAATTGGGCAAGCATTGATCATGGTGGAGCTGGGGAGTGTATAGAATTGTAGGTCCATTTCTAACAGTACCTACCTACATCCATCATCCATTACATTCAACTGGTAAAGCTGTATAGATATTGATTAAGTTATAATTGGCCTAATTAACTCCAATGAAACAGATGATTCTAAATCGAGAGTCTTTGAGAATAGAATAATTTTTTCACAGCACCCCATCAGTTATTGACAAGACTTAAAGGGGTGTGCCTTTCATGGAAAGGATTTGAAAATAGGACTAAGGTTATTAACTTCTTGATAAAAATGTTGCTTGTTCGGGAATTTTTATTTCGAATTTCTGACACGTGGTTTATTAGTGGGTGCAAGGTTTTGCTTTGACAACCTGGGAACATTTTTTGCAATTTCGTATCCAACAAAAAATTAATTCTTTTGTCACAGTCTTTATTTCCATGTTGTCTGCTTAGAGCTTCATGTTTTCGCAATGAAAATGTTTGCCAGAGAAAAATTAAAGCATTTCCCAAATACTAATTTTAAACACAAAACAAATTTCATAAAAATGTGTACTTAAAAATCATGTTAATTGAAAACACATTACAAAAAGTAAGTAGGTAACTAACTAAACCGTGGTTCTGCATTCTCGTTTGTGATTGTGAAACAATTAAAAATTAAATAGTATTTTACATACGCATTATACACTCACAACATGCAAATTTTCATGTAGCTATCTTTATTTTATTTTTCGTGTGAAATTTGTTACATAAAAGATGAATTATTTCTCACATTTGAAATATACGCCGTGTATAACGCATCCACGTAATTACTTTCCGGTTCTGTCGTATACTTCCTAACATTGCATCTACATATTAGTGAAAGTTAAGCCAGGTGCGCTCACTATGCTTTACTCATATTGACAAACGGACAAAACACCATTAACGCAGTTGGTATCTCTGCATATCTACTCATTTTTTATCGTTACTCTAATTAGAAGACGGCAAGACGCTATTTAGGTAGGTCACTTCCGCGACCATTGTCTTCAGGTGGATTATAAGTATTCATCTAATTATGTAATGGCAAAATTTTAAGCGTTGTATCATTGTATAATGTAAACTTGAAGGTTGTAAGGATATCCAGATGTAATGGTAATGGTTGTTAATATACTCTGTTAATAGTAATAAAAATGTGTTTTAGTCCTTCAAGCCACATCAAACCTTCGGAATCCGCTCGGATGAATACTTATCTATCGAGTCGTAATCATGTACATACTTTTAGATGTATACACTACAGTAACGCGATATGACTGAAGTCAATGTGATCAACCCTAGGTAAGTACCAAGAGGAAACAATACCTGTCCGTGAAATTGTATTATCGAGTTAAAAGTAATTTATTTTTGTCATATAATTTATTTTATGCTAATAGTCCTGCTAATTTGAAATTGTGTGCTAATCACGTTAAAGAGTAATTAAGAATTTTCAATTTGGACTAATTTCACATTAAAATTGAGACAATTTTGTGCTAATTTGAAAAGTTGTGGTAATATCTAATTTAATTTTCACGAATGCCCACACTACACTTTCAAACTCCATCCTTAACATTAGAACTTTTATATCTGCTAATCTGCTATTTATCTATGTTATGCTCCTATTTATATGCAATGCAAAAAATCTCCTTTTCAAAGGTAGCGGCAATTTGAAAAGTTGGATGGTGTAATACAATTGAACTTTTTTACATCGCCTGGTTTTGAGAGACGATTGATGATTACAATCAGGAACAAACTGGGCTTCAGGTTTCACGAAATTTAGTAGTTGAATTTTAGTTTATTCACTGGAATAATTTACCCTCGAATTTACCAATGTTCCACAATATGGATATGCCAATTTTCACTTTGTAGGTATACTTAGGGACAGGGTGTGGAAATAATATTCATTTATGGCTCCGAAAATCGATCATCTTTTAGAACAGCTAGAACAAGATTTGGTCGCTAAATTCGAAGAAACGGGATCTGTTATCAATAAAAAATTCACAGATTTCGCAATCCTTGCAACCATCGGAGACATTGGAAATGATAACCGTATAACCTATAAAGCCATAAATAACCCTTATTCACACGGAAACGTAAACTTTCTGAATAATAAGCGGCGTAACATGCTTGTAATACTATCACGGGCGATGTGTGAGAATTTTAAATTCGAATTAACAAAACCCCTGCGCACTGTTAAGTAAGTACCGTATCGATAGTAGGTATCCGCTTCTTTTCCTGAATCTACCGATTCCAGTAGAGTACGTCATCAA